TGATGGAGCCCTGCTGTCCTGGAGATGGCTGAACACCTGCCTGCCCATGGGATGCAGTGAATGGATTCCTTGTTTTGCTTTGCTTGCGCACGTGGCTTTTGCTTCCCCTATTAAACTGTCTTTGTCTCAACTCACGAGTTTTCTCACTTTTACCCTTCTGATTCTCTCCCCCATCCCAGCAGGGAGGAGTGAAGCGGCTGTGTGGGGCTTAGTTACTGGCTGGGGATAAACCACAACAGTCTCACCATCTCATAAGAAACTAATGTGGCAAATAGAACTTGTGGATTGTCAGCTGACGATATACCCCAAATTATGATTAGCAGTGATCCCAAGGCCTGTTTTTCTCTGAATTAAGTTACTGGGAATCAAATTGATTGTGCACACCCTGCCCCACCCCTTGCAGTATTCCAAGCCACACACAATCACAGTTGGTATCTGAATCAAATCTGCTCTGTTCTCTAGCTCTAGAATTATTTATTGTCAATATTTTTCTTGGGAAGTCTTTACATATTTTTTTAAAAACAGAGTTAACCAAGATGCTGAGGGTTTTGGGAAGACAGTGCTTACATCCTTGGTGAAAATTTTTATTTGACCCACATCAGTTTTAAACACCGCTATTCAACCTTACATGGTTTAAAGTCAAGTATTAATGGTGATGTTTTAGCCTACATTCTACAGAATCATTTATATACTAACAGCACCATCAAAACCACTATTAAATACAGGTATCTCCTTAAAAAAAAAAACCCAAAACAAAGCAAACTCAGCCAACGAACAAACAACCAAAAAACCCAACCCCCCCAAAAAACCCAAAATCAAAACAGATTCACCCTATAGCACGAGTTTTGAGCTCAAGGATGCCAAAAGGGCCATTTAATGCTGAGAATGAAATTTGAGAAACTAAACTTGTAATCTGTTTGGGACTCTATGACACTCTTCTCTTTCTTTCAAGTTTTGCAAAGTACACAAGTAAAGCTGGACTTTTATTTTCCATTTCACATAGCAAGTCTTAGGGCACAACATTCAGTCATTGCCTGCTAGCCAAAGGAGTCCTCTAAAACAGAACCAGCATAACTGTATACCAGCCTTGCATTTTAGTTATCTCCAATCCCTTAATAATCATCACTGTGCTGCTTAAATAATGTTATGTAGATTCTGGGTAAGATCTTCCAAGACACTTAAGGAATTTAAATGTTCTATGACAATTCATATAACTGCCACTAAAATGCAAATATCTAAATCTTGCAAGAAGCTCCAGATTCCCATGCTACACCAAATAGTGAGATATGTATGCAAAACTACACCATTCCCCTATTGTAATACATATCTGATTTTAAATCAAGGCTTGCTTTCTCTTCTGTTGCCCCAAAACACATACCTAACATTACAATTCGTAACGTCCCCAAAAATCACAGAAAGGGCATCAGAAGAGAATGGAATCTTAAACTCCATTTTTATCCTGCTAGCAGAGAAACACTTTTTTCCTTTGCTAAGGGACAGAGGTATTGAGCTGAACTTGAATACATCAAGTGTGTGGAAAAAGCAGGGCCTGAACCAATCAGGTTAGAGTTATATTAAAATTTTAAAAAAGGAAATTAATACCCTTCCACGCTATGTAAACACATTTGATAGAGTCTCAGATGCAAGTTTTTTGCTCTATTCCCATCTAAAAAAGCTGAATGCAACCTGGTTATTCAGACCCAGGGAGACAACTATCGAGTTTAGGTCTAGATTCAGATTAGAGTCTTTGCTAGATTGTCATGGGAGATAACACGTATTTTGGGGAACTTACTATGCCTAAAGAGAGTTATGAACATAGACAGACCGATACCCCAAAACTCACAGCAACTAGGATCTAAGGGAGGAAAAAAAAGCATATATGTATGTGAATTATTGCCCTTTTTGCTAACCAGGCCATGGGGAGAAGCTTGCTTGCTCTGTTTATTATTCCAACACATTTGGCACAACTTTGCATTCGCTACACATCTATTATAACTTCTCTCTGTCTGGAAGGAAAGTATCTTTTAATTTATAATAACTTACTGTTTGTTTAAGATTAAGAAATGTGAAGTCTTCTGCTAGCAGCTACACTAACTAAGCACTTAGTATCAAGTTAAAAATAAACACCAATCTGATTAAAGGAAAGAGGGGGAAAAACATGGAATAGTTGCTGCATATCCTTAAATCTTTCCTAAAAAAAAAATATCCAGCCACAGAGTTCAACAAAAGTGTACAATGCCTTTTTGAGGCAGGAGTCAGAGAAACCGCAGATAAAATCCACTTAAAGAAATCTGTAAAAATGTTTTGCTCTCCACTGCTAGCAAGGTGCTCCAGAAGAGCTTTGACTGCTCTGTTGCAGTCAAACTTTATGCATCCACATTAAGGACAGAAAAGAAGGAAAAAACCCCAAAACCCTGGAAATTTTAATAAGGGTGTAGCAACATGATAAAACTGCAGGGAAAGTACAGGCATTGAGAAAATACTACCAGAATTAAGCCACGATAACTGTAAAGGGGATCAGCACACCTTCCAGGACCAGGCCTACGTAACGAAAGGATGAGAGTGATAATCGAACGGGTGGCACTGTTTCCCCTACAGGTGCATTGAACTAATGTCCTGGCATTATTGAAGAAACACGGGAAAATGGAA